CAGCTGGCTGCAGCTAAATCTGGAGTGCACTCGTATTCAATTCTGTATGGTAAATTCAGTTTTAACGGAGCAGAGCGAGCTGACAGGCAGAGTTAGAGACTTTTTCTGTCTGTTTCTCTCTTTACAAAGACGCATGTTGCAGTCAGAGTCTTCTCTGAGATGCGAGCACGACATACAACACAATTTATCAAATTACACAACGGATATACAGTATGAAAATAAGATTGATTGGATTATACTCACAGGAAGTATAAAACCTCTTACATGGTCTATTAAAAGTAAAGTAACACAAAAATGTCAGGGAAATTACTTTACTTAGATTTAAGTACTGCAGTTGTACATTTGAAATACCTTCCTACCTTTCTGATAGGAAGCCTTCTTGAGGTGGTATAAAACATTTCTTCTTATATTCTGATTTGAGTTGTGGACAACTATGACCACATGAATTAAAAAACATTTCACTGCCCAAGTCAGCTATAACACAAGTCTTGTTCATCAGACTACATGCTGTACAGTATTTGTGGACAGATTTTGTCCCAGGATTTCTTATGCATTTCTTCTTCTTCGTTGCATGATTTAGAATAATAAGGTGAGAAATGGGTCTATTCTGAGTTCATCCTGCACTGCAGCAGCTAATAAAGTCCATTTAATCCCAAAACGCTTTTCTTTTAGGCAGGCTGGAGCAGAAAACAACTCACCTTTCTCAAGTTGTACAGTAATGTCACATGTGTATGAAGGTGGATCAAACAAGCTAATCTTAAATGTCAAAGTAGAGAGGAGCCTAGTAGGCCTATTTATTTTCATTCATTACACAATATGAATAAGCTATGCAGACAGTTGTAAAGAAAGAACATCTTTTTCTTCTGTTCTCTACTTGTTATAGTTACACAGTATTAGGGGTGTGGGCTGTATTAAAAGTATCCACTGTTCTCCCATGCTCTAACACACAGTAACGATGAAATGTGTGCTGTTCTCACATTCTTCCTCTGTATGTACACATAAACAACAAGGCAGGGAAATATAAAAGGAATTTATTTTATTGTTTGGGTACATTATTGTTCAGTGTACATGCTCACATCTGAAACAAACTTTACGTGCTTGATAACTCTCCCACCCCGCAGACATCTACACGTCAATACCGATTTATATTCATAGCGGCAAGTGCTATGTAGCTCCACATAGGGGACACAGGAAGTGACATATAGCACCTTCATGCGGCGTCGGAACCGCGTAGGAAATTCACAGCCGCACCGGCAGAGCTCCAGAATGCAACTCGGCCGGCTCACACGCGGACGCGCTACAAGTGCGAGGGCCCGCCCAACGCTGCTTGCAGCTTTAATTTTTTTTTTTTTCTGCAAAGTAGGCCCAAATGACATGGCCTAAACATACTCGAAAACTCACCAAAATTTGCAAACATGTCAGAACCGGTGAAAAATTTCGTATTCTACAAGTTTCGCACATGGGCGTGGCAAAATGACTCGCTAGCGCCACCTAGAAAATTGGAAATGATTAGCCCCTCGTTCACGTTCAACCTACATGTACGAAATTTTCTGGGGACATGTATCGTATCAAGACGCACAAAAAAGCCTCAAGAACCCATAGCCTAAAGTCAACAGGAAGTCGGCCATTTTGAATTTTACGGCCATTTTTGGATGATTTACACACTTCGTACTTTAACGAACTCCTCCTAGGGATTTAGTCGGATCGACGTCAAATTTCTGCTGTGCCTTCTAAAGGCATTGACGATGAAAAGTTGTGCTATTTGCGCGTTTTCGTCAATGGCGTGTCCGTGGCGTCGATGATTCGCAATGAAACAGGAAGTTGTTGTAACTTCAGTGTACATGCTCACATCCGGACCAAACTGTACATGTAGGATGAGAGTCCCGCCCTGAACACATGTACATGCCGACATTCACCCACAGTCATAGCGCCACCTGCTGGCAACAGAAAGTGACCTTTAACGAAGCAGCCCCCGCCGCACGTTTCACCTACGTGCACGAATTTTCTGTGGTACGTGTATCTTGTCCAGACGCACAAAAAAGCCTCTTGGAGCGATGCCCTAAAATCAACAGGAAGTCGGCCATTTTGAATTTTACGTCAAATTTTGGATGATTTACACACTTCGTACTTTAACGAACTCCTCCTAGGGATTTAGTCCAACCGACTTCAAATTTGTGCTGTGCCTTCTAAAGGCATTGAAGATGAAAAGTTGTGCTATTTGCGAGTAGTAGTTTTCGTCAATGGGTGTGTCCGTGGCGTGGCGTCAGAGATCAAGTCTTCGCCATGACACAGGAAGTTGTTGTAACTTAACGTGTACATGCTCACATCTGAACCAAACTTTACGTGCTTGATAACTCAAGGGGTCATCTTCTCTGCTATTGGTGGACCAGTCAGACAGGAGAGCTCTTACTCTGCCTGCAGACATCAACGATCTTGCCCCTCACACAGTCAGATGGCTTTTTTCAGTGCGCTGAGGTGTTTAACAACTCTGAAGACAATACTACCAGCAATGTCTTCCTTCTCTTTTCATGTAGACGCTCCGACAGACAGTGCTTTCAGTTTGCTGCATGCATGGACACAGAACTGCGGTATAGAGAGAAGCACACGGTCAGCTGGCTGCAGCTAAATCTGGAGTGCACTTGTATTCAATTCTGTATGGTAAATTCAGTTTTAACGGAGCAGAGCGAGCTGACAGGCAGAGTTAGAGACTTTTTCTGTCCGTTTCTCTCTTTACAAAGACGCATGTTGCAGTCAGAGTCTTCTCTGAAGAGGGCAATGAAGTCTCAGTAGTACCCGATGCGAGCACCACATACAACACAATTTATCAAATTACACAACGGATATACAGTATGAAAATAAGACTGATTGGATTATACTCACAGGAAGTATAAAACCTGTTACATGCGTAACACTGTAATGTCAGGGAAATTACTTTACTTAGAATTAAGTACTGCAGTTGTACATTTGAAATACCTTCCTAACTTTCTGATAGGAAGCCTTCTTGAGGTGGTATAAAACATTTCTTCTTATATTCTGACTTGAGTTGTGGACAACTATGACCACATGAATTAAAAAAATAAAACATTTCACTGCCCAAGTCAGCTATAACACAAGTCTTGTTCATCAGACTACATGCTGTGGACAGATTTTGTCCCAGGATTTATTATGCATTTCTTCTTCTTCGTTGCATGATTTAGAATAAAGGTGAGAAATGGGTCTGTTCTGAGTTCATCCTGCACTGCAGCAGCTAATAAAGTCCATTTAATCCCAAAAACGCTTTTCTTTTAGGCAGGCTGGAGCAGAAAACAACTCACCTTTCTCAAGTTGGGTACATTATTGTTCAGTGTACATGTTCACATCTGAAACAAACTTTACGTGCTTGATAACTCTCCCACCCCGCAGACATCTACACACCAATACCGATTTATATTCATAGCGGCAAGTGCTATGTAGCTCCACATAGGGGACACAGGAAGTGACATATAGCACCTTCATGCGGCGTCGGAACCGCGTAGGAAATTCACAGCCGCACCGGCAGAGCTCCAGAATGTGCAACTCGGCCGGCTCACGCGCGGACGCGCTACAAGTGCGAGGGCCCGCCCAACGCTGCTTGCAGCTTTAATTTTGTCTGTTTTATTCTTCCTTTGTATTTATTTACCTTATTTATTTTCACCCATGGTATTTATTTCTGCCTGTCTTTTTTAAATTTTTGTATGCATTTCTGCCTCATTATGCAAATGAGGAGGGGTCATCTTCTCTGCTATTGGTGGACCAGTCAGACAGGAGAGCTCTTACTCTGCCTGCAGACATCAACGATCTTGCCCCTCACACAGTCAGATGGCTTCCTTCAGTGCGCTGAGGTGTTTAACAACTCTGAAGACAATACTACCAGCAATGTCTTCCTTCTCTTTTCATGTAGACGCTCCGACAGACAGTGCTTTCAGTTTGCTGCATGCATGGACACAGAACTGCGGTATAGAGAGAAGCACACGGTCAGCTGGCTGCAGCTAAATCTGGAGTGCACTTGTATTCAATTCTGTATGGTAAATTCAGTTTTAACGGAGCAGAGCGAGCTGACAGGAAGAGTTTTCTGTCCGTTTCTCTCTTTACAAAGACGCATGTTGCAGTCAGAGTCTTCTCTGAGATGCGAGCACGACATACAACACAATTTATCAAATTACACATCGGATATACAGAATGAAAATAAGATTGATTGGATTATACTCACAGGAAGTATAAAACCTCTTACATGGGTCTATTAAAAGTAAAGTAACACAAAAATGTCAGGGAAATTACTTTACTTAGATTTCAGGACTGCAGTTGTACATTTGAAATACCTTCCTACCTTTCTGATAGGAAGCCTTCTTGAGGTGGTATAAAACATTTCTTCTTATATTCTGATTTCAGTTGTGGACAACTATGACCACATGAATTAAAAAAATTCTGCCCAAGTCAGCTATAACACAAGTCTTGTTCATCAGACTACATGCTGTACAGTATTTGTGGACAGATTTTGTCCCAGGATTTATTATGCATTTCTTCTTCTTCGTTGCATGGTTTAGAATAATAAGGTGAGAAATGGGTCTGTTCTGAGTTCATCCTGCACTGCAGCAGCTAATAAAGTCCATTTAATCCCAAAAACGCTTTTCTTTTAGGCAGGCTGGAGCAGAAAACAACTCACCTTTCTCAAGTTGTACAGTAATGTCACATGTGTATGAAGGTGGATCAAACAAGCTAATCTTAAATGTCAAAGTAGAGAGGAGCCTAGTAGGCCTATTTATTTTCATTCATTACACAATATGAATAAGCTATGCAGACAGTTGTAGAGAAAGAACATCTTTTTCTTCTGTTCTCTACTTGTTATAGTTACACAGTATTAGGGGTGTGGGCTGTATTAAAAAGTATCCACTGTTCTCCCATGCTCTAACACACGGTAACGATGAAATGTGTGCTGTTCTCACATTCTTCCTCTGTATGTACACATAAACAACAAGGCAGGGAAGGGCAGTTTCGGCAGTTTGATATGTTTCATTCATTTTTCTTACATAATATTAAGTATCTTGACATGTTTTGTGGTTACTGTAGTTTGTTTAAATGTTACGTATTAGTCTATCCCCCTGTGTCAGAATGGTTGATCAGCAACTTAATACGTTTACCCCACGTTCAGTTTAGCCTGTTCAGTTCATGTTAACTTACTGTAGCCTGTGTTAAGTTCTGTTTAGATGAACCCAGAGCTTTAATGTATCTTTTGTAAATTGGTTGTTTAATTTTTTTCTTTTTTTCCTGGTAAATAAAACTTTTTTTGAAAATTTACCAATGACTCCTCATGCCTGCCAGCTGTGTCCCTCACAAGTCTTTGAAACCTGATTCTTAGAAGTCAGCGTCATGCATTTAAAAAAAACTAATAAATTAAGGGTTTCCAGATGCTTACTGTATTGGCTCTCCTTGACAGGGAAGTCTTTGACAGGAACTGCACTGTGTTCGTCCATGCGTAGAGATATTACTTTTCTCTGCAAGCTGGTTGACTTCCTCACCAAAAATATCTGCAGGCCAGGGGAGGAAACATTCAATCAGAACAGATACTTCAGTATATATGATAAGGCAGGCATTAGCTACAATGCTATCTTTACTTGATTGAATAGGGTTGAACACAAGACTTAATTAATCAGAAAAGTGCTTTATTGATACTTTTTGTTAAATGTACTTTATTCATTAATCACTCTTCTTGGGGAAAAAATCCATTAAAGCTCTGAAAACACGTTTTTTGAATCAGCTTCGTACTCTGACCACAGCGGTTTGACATCAACACCGCTTTCTGCCAAAATTGAAAGAGTTCAAGTTCAGTTGGGAAAAGGTTTTGTCATGTACCAATCAGGATTAGCTAAATTTGAATCCCAGTGTGATAATTGTGGAGTAATTATGCAAGCACTTCTGTTGAAGCAAATTCTTTTTGAGTGGTAAACAAAAAAGGCATTAATCCGGCAATGCTTGTTGCAAAGATTTGTGAGTGGCATTTGAGGTGGCTTGATTTATTTTTTTGAGTTCTAGTACAATTCAGATCAATGGGAAAGTAAAATTAATCCCAACACTTCAGGTAGGTAGTTGTTTGCACATCCCATCCTATTTGTAGGCCATGTGCAGGACAACAGATTAAACAAGGGGGAAAAGTGTGTACGGTGGATTTTTCGCTACTAGTTGTTCTATGTCAGTAGGGAGGAAACACTGCCATGCCTATACATTTTTTGGGAAGCTAATATCCAGTGTGTGGACACTTTTTTCCCTTAATATAGTATTTACACAGAAAAATTATTTTTGCTTGCATATTTGATTTACTAAAGACCATTTCATCCTTCTCTAAACAGCAGTGAATAAACATCAGCTATTACATTACAAAGTCTCAGGAAATCCAGGTTGACAAAATTGTTGCGACTCTGTAAATAATATCACAGTACGGTCTAGACCTGCTCTATATGAAAAGCGCTATGAGATACTGGTGTTGTGAATTGGCACTATATAAATAAAATTGAATTGAAAAATAAATGCAGATGTAGAGAAAGCTGGTTCATAGGTAACATTCATGTAAAAAAAAAAAAACAGACGATTTGATTTGAATGTTCTATTTTTCATGAGCATTCCCAAAAATAGGAAGGCTTATAATGACTGTAAAAGGTGCTGACCCTGAATTATAAACATGTAGGCTGCGTTTCATTAGTAGGTCCATTTCTCATCATCCCTTGGTATTACATATTACATATAAGAGGTGGCAGCGAGAGTAGCAGGGCATTTAAATGGAACGCACCTGCACATTTACACTTTCAGCCCAAACTATCATGGGTCGACCTCCAGTTGTGGGCACTATACTGCTTTTTATAAATCATCAGAAATACCTGCATATTCATTTTAATGAGGCGAAGGCATCCTCAGCAGATAATTGCAATCTGTAGGCACTTTGTAATTACTTGCATCCATTTCTGATTGGGATCTGTATCATATTTATTTAAAAAAGGGGTTTATGTGATCTTGTAAAACAGCAGTTTCCCCATGCCTTAACAGATAATGTTGGAAATAAAGAATTCACACTTTAAACCGAACAGTACAACAATCCAAGTTAATGTGAACTGCAATTAGTAATATGATCGTTTTCAGTAAAATATCAAGCCATCACTGAGATTAGAAACTATCTGCTGACAATGCAGTGTTTTATGTAGATTACTGCCACCTAACCATGGATATGCAGTACTTCCCTGTAGCAATGCATAACTGCAATATATACCTCTGGACCATTGTTGCTGACTCACTCCCTCAGCCCACTGAGGTCCGATCTCACCAAGTTCACTTCAGTTTTTCAGACAAATGGAACACACTTGTCACGGGGCAGGGGATCCCCCGAGGGGAAGTCAGACAGGGATGTTGAAGGACTAATGAAACACAGCCATAAACTACACAAATTATCAAAAAAGTAAAAAGCTTTAAGTCAGCAGTGTTGGACAGAAAAAGCCACGGTGGTTGCTGTTCCCTCACCCCGGTCGGTTGGCTCTGCAGTATACGTGTGGAGTCCTGGTGGCTGAGACCCAGCTGTAGCCACACAGAATGTGTATGCACCAGTCTGTCCAGAACACTGAGCCGCCGATGGAGGGAGTCGTAACCTGAATCTCTCATTCCGGCCGGCCCTGCTCCAATCCCAGCACAAGATGAAGCCTGTAAGAAGAGACCTCCTACCTCTTCATCCAGCCTAAAAACAAAATCGAACTAATATAAGAGAGTACATTGCAGGGACTGCACATTTCATATCACAACTGAATGTTGTAACAAATGCACCACACACCATATCTATTTCCACCAAAATACATACAAGTAGAAAGTCTTGAGAGCAACAAAATAACAAAATGTGAATGACATAAATACAGAAACAACACACTGAGCAATAGGTAGACAATGATTAGAGTCGTGATCCAGTACCAAAACAGAAACAGACATTCATCAGAAAGAGTGTGCCTTTCTAATTTTAAGCATTGGAATCCTGGGCAGGAAGTTTAACACGACAACGGCGTGATGCTTTACAGCAACAACACGACTTTTCAGCAAGCTATAAGAAGAAGCAAAAAGTATATAATCTACAATGGGAGTTCTTTGGAAGAAGCTAGCTCAGTATTGTAATATGGATATTTTGGGCTGTGAAGAGACTGAAGAAGATGTCTGAGGAAGAGAGGAAGAGAAAAAGAGAGAGTGACCGAGCAAGAGACCTGACAAGAGTAAATATCAGACTGGTTTTTACTCTGAGCTGAGAGGATGCAGAACAGATACCGAGCTGGCCTTCTTTCTGTTAGACTAGACCAGTGGTTCCCAAACCCCCCCTCTCTCTACAGAGCTGTGTATTGATACAGCTCTGTAGAGAGAGGCAGCCGATATTACTGAAGGTGCAATAAACACCAAAATCTGTTTCTATGATGACAAGCAGCGCAGTGTCCCTGTTACACCAGTGTGAACATGCCCGAAGTCACAGCTAAGGGGGTTCACTCAGTGACACTCGTGAAAGTGACAGCTTTTAAATCAATCACTCTCTCCATACCCACTCACTGCGCTTAAACACAACATGCATCTGTCTTCTCTGTCTTTTCAAATTCAAATTCAAATTAGCTTTATTGGCATGAATGTGTAATAACAATATTGCCAAAGCATCATACATACAACATAAGAACAATCAGCCCCATACATTTCATTAAACAATTAATTAAAGCGTGAAGTTGTAGCAGCAAATTTTAGTTATGCATTTTAATAAATTTATGAGAATTGATACCCAATTATGAATTAATATTCATAAAATCAAAATTTCCTCGTTAAGGGCACCACCGGAGTTGTTATAATCCTAGAGTCTCCGGACCTCTATGTAGTTTTGAATAATTATACAATTATTACTAGTGATCAGTTAGTTAATAATCGCTCAATTATCTTAAATCAGTCAGTCAATCTCATATCTATTCTCTTGGCAGGAACTAGAAATAGGCAACACAGTGAATAATTTATTCTCTAACTAAGGTGATAAAAAGATGGTTGGATATAGGGAACATAAACATTTGCTGAACAATGAGCCTGGAGGTTCGATTGTGGGAAGCATTTGACTCATACGGCATAGAAGAGCTAATGAAAGTAAACTAATGCTATAGTTTAAAGTTTGAGTTAAAATGGACATCTGATCACAGAACGTGTGTTAAGTCTTACTGCTTGTCGACAGCCTGCTTTTGGCCTGTTGCACGGGTCCCACGCTAGCTGCCCGATCCTGGCTTTTTGCTAGGGATTCTCCGGGGTTCTCCGTGTCTGATTGAAAACGCCTCCTCCGTCTGGCAATTCGGCTGTTTTCAGGTTTCCTTCGTTGTAGCTGGCGAGACCACGTGGCTTAGTCTGACCTCGGTGAAGTTGGCTCGACGAAAAAGGCTTAAAATGGAACTTGGTCGTTCCTGAATTAGTCCAGTGTAACTTAACGGACTCATAACTTTAACAAACAAAAGAAATAAAGAAAATAAAACAAACTGAAGGCAGATCGATGTCGCGGCACTTCAGGTGTGTAGCTTCAGGCGAACAAAAGGCCTATTTGTTTCGCTGGCCGAGTCTGGGCGTTGCCTGGCGAGGCACGCCAAACGCGTGCCGAAGCGTCCAGCGAGCAGAGCAGAGTGGAAGAGAGCCAACAGCGAAGAGAAGAGAGCGAAGCGAGGTCACGTGTCGCTCTTTTGTTGCCTGGGGCGTGGTTCCCCAGGGGGCGTCTCAGGTTTCCCAAGGGACTGCCTTTCTAAACTTAATGTCTAAAGAAAAGAAATCTATTTGCACATATTATAATCAAATATTTTCCACAATCGAACCTCAATGGTTGAACGGTTGTACTGTTCTAGGCATATGGTAACAGGAAACAATTGTCACATTATTGGTCAGGATATTTATACATTTAATGGCATTTCCGATGAGGGCATGTAATACTTATTTCGTCCACTTGGGGGAGCTCAGGTTAGATGAGGAAAGCTTGGATTAAATCAAAGATCGTCTCTCCTTAGGAACCGGGGAATTTGTTGATTCATCCTTAAATTCAAGCTGGCAGTTAAGAGTATAGTAAAACATTCCTTTGTTATCATTTCTAAAGAAATTTTGTAGGAAAGTGTTATGAACAAGCATTGATTACATTAGATGAAGGAGTGTCTTGCTGAAAATAAAAACACTGCACAAGTAACTTGTAACAGATAGCAACAACAGTTAACATAACTACTGAAATAGAGGCAAACGTATTCAGGTAACTAAAGATTTAATTAAACTTAATTAAATGCTTTGAGTCTTTACATTGAAAGTTCAGTGTCTGGACCACGTCACACTTGGGTGAGACAGGGGTTTTCCTTTTTGATGTGGTAATAAAACAAAGAATAAGGTCAGTTGCCACGGAAACGTGTGGTGGGGGGCCAGTTTTGATAGGCTGTTTAGGGAAATGCCAATGGCTGGTTCCTGTCCCTTTGTCAGTTTAACAGTCAGGCCCCGCGTTATCAGCTTCGGAATCAAAAAGGTGCCAGTTTTATGGTCGGGATAGCACTGAGAGAAAGCAACTTTGACCCCTCCCCTTCTTCTCCGGGGAGGAGAAAGGAATTTAGGGTAGCTCCAAATTTATTCAATGAAAAATGCTGAAACACAAGAGCTGTTAAAGTCCAGGAGTTTATAACTGAATTAAAATTAATTAATTTATTATCTAGGTGAAAAGGTCCCACACAGGCCTATTAAAAGAGGTTATTTCCCCAAACGGAGACTCAAAAGAGAAGAGAAGGCAAAGCATGTGTACTGACTTAGCAGGGTTTTATTAAATTAGAAAAGTTGATCTACAGGAGAAAACAGAAAGCAATAGTATTCAGAATGCCTGAATTTTATTAAATTTTTATATTGTGAACTGTCACATACTGCCCGAATATTGTGTTTCACTTTAAATAGGCTGCTTCTCAAGTCTTTTAATTGCATCCACGTTTCCCTCACTTACGTCTTTTCCTTGTGTCTTAGTCCCGCCCACCGGGGATTCATGAAGAGATGCAAGGAAACCAAGCCAGGAGAAAAAGGACGAGGAAATATGTTTTTAAAGACATGAGACGTCCTTTCCTCCGAATCGTCACATGAAGCGACGTCTGTTTCTGATGACAGTGGCAGCTGATCACAGCTGGATCAGCTGTCAGTAGGCTCTGTAGAGACTTGAAAGAGTTTTTGTGTGTACACATGTGCTGTTCTGATACTAATAAAGTCTCAGTTATCAGTGCACAGCAGCATGACTCTCTCTGTAGCTGTTACCTGTTTAACAAACACCTGCACATGAATAATTATAGGTCTCTGTCCTGCCCAGAGGCACGAGATCATTTCTACTGGAACAATACTCACATAATTTTTTTGATTCTGATTGTAAATTCATTATTGAATAACCCAGAATATTATGTTTTGGGATTTATTAGGCTAAAAGTTTAAGAGAAAATGAAATGATGTCACTCTAAGTCGATGCTCAGTTTTAGGCTTTCAGTTTATTTCTTCTTCTGATATCCTTTAACACTAGCCTACGACATAGGCTACATTAAATTTATGCAAGTCACATCACTCGTCACTGATCGATCACTGCGTTCCATCATATTAATCCAACGCTTTTTTTTTTTTTTTTTTTTCATACTTTCATCAGCTGATTTTACTCGCGGTGCCGTCAATACTTTCATCAGATGCAGTAGGTGAGATCGGCTGCATAAGCGGCTTTATTTTCCTTTGCTTGCTTCATTAGAGTCTTAAGTGCAGTTTAGTGACTTGTCCTACACCTAGCCTACTTGTTTACTATGTTTTATAGTAGTCTATTTGGATTAAACGACCAGCCTCACATGTGACTAAATAAAAATGATGTAAAACATGTTTCTAGCTGACAGACTCTCCGACTCTCTCTGACTTTAATTGTCTCCATAATAAAAGTTGATGAGAGAAATAAAAGAAAAAGAAAATCTTTCTAATAGGCTAAATGAAGAAAGTTGTGTGGGGCTTTTGTTGTTCAGACCTACAATGAACTCAGATTTTAACTAGACAGTGAATCATAAAACAAATCAAATATAGCCTAACTCTTTGCAGTGATGCACTTGAGTTTAATGTTGTCTGTCCTGATGCATCAGATCAGTCCGATCAGCTGCAGCTCCAATCAATATAAGAGCTACCCAGTAAGGAGGTGTGCCAGTCAGTAAAAGACTTCCGCGAAGGATACACTGGTACACTCGCTCAGCTCCTCAGAGATCGCTCCTCGATCTTTGTTCCTCGCACCTCGGAGCGCAAATAAGAGCTTTGAGACGGCCTGCAAGATAGCGGAGCGGAACAACTTCCGGTTCAAGCGAGGAGCGAGATAACAACAAATAAGTGAGAAGCAGCCATGGATGGAGATGAACCATAAACTGGCACAATGCTCAAAATTTCAAATCTCGCCTAGGGCTCCAACACTGTCATGGCCAGCCCTGAGTAGCTGTGGTGTATAATATATGTGCATTTGACGCATAACAGTTTAAAATAGCACTGTAGCAGCTGGATAGAGGATTAGTGACCTTTTTTTTTTTTTTTTTAAACCTGTCCTGCCCAGTAGCCTGGTATAGAGTATAATGACCTGGATACCATATTGTGCCAGACAGATTTTACTTTAACAAGAGAGTATTAAAATACTCCTTTGTCTGTTTTATTATTTATTTAATTATGTATTGATTTGTCACCGGGCCGGACAGGGGGGCAGACACGGGGATGGGGGGCCACAAACAGACAGCACAGAGAAAGGACAAGACCTGTAAGAGAAGGGGGAAAGGGGGATGGAAGGTGGGGACAACAGGGAAAAGCAGTGGGAAACACCAATTGCAGAAAGCAACGAAACCTGTAATAGAACAGAGAGGGGGGCTTGGGGAGGAGAAAAACACAACAAACCAACACAAACAAAAACAAACAATAAAAATAATAATAATAGTAAAAGACAACCAGCCGAACAGCAGCAATGAACAGCTGACATAGTAAGACAACTAAGAGAAAAATGAAAACAAGAAACAGTCACACACACTAAATAAGCAACACAGCACAGCCACGAGAGCTGGAATAATAATTAATTTAAATAAGTAACTGAAAGAAAAGCATCAGGAATAATTCTACCAGGGACAACCTAAATTTGTTTGTGTCTGTGTGCGTGTGGGTGAATGTGTCTGTATGTGTGTGTACGTGTGTGCGCATAAGCCTGTTAAAGAATGTAGTTGTTAGTGAGAGTGGGATGCCACGACTGCGCCACACGTACCCCAGCAACAGGCAGGCAAGAACCCCAGTAGCCAATAGGGGTGGGAGAAAGAAAAAGAATAAATCAATCAAAAAAAAACAAAGACTCCCAGATGCACCGCAATGCAAACGCGGAAGACCCCGACCCAAATGCCAGTTGACAACGTAATGCCGACGGAACGCAAAAAGCATAACCTGTACATTTTGGTACTCCATAAATTGGTGCAGAAAATGTCTCCAGATTGCAGGAAATTAAGAGTTTAATGCTCAAAATCTTCTAGGGGAGGACCCCAGACCCACCACTAAGATATTTCATTAAGGAATATTTATTCAAATTAAAGCTGCAAGCAGCGTTGGGCGGGCCCTCGCACTTGTAAGCGCGTCCTGAGTGGCCCGACACTGTGGACTGCTGGCAGGGGCGGATTGGCCACATGGCAATTCTGGAATATGCCAGAGGGGCCGGACTATTTGTTTTAGGGTGGGCCGGTCAGATTGATATTATATCAGTGTTTCTCACACATCAGCTTTACTTGGGCGGCCGCTGAGGTACATTAACGGCCGCCCAACTACATTTGATGACCCATTTAAGCATTTTGCAGAGAAACACTGAGAGAAATGATGGTGGATATTTCACATAAGAAATGTGCATTGTCCAAGAAGTTATTTAAACCACAAAAAAAAGCTACTGATTGCTGCATTATATTCCATTTTATTGTTATATTTTGAATTGTCACCTGCTACGTGGATTTTGTGCTGCCATTCATATAAATAAAGACATTATTGGTACTCCATAAATTGGTGCAGAAAATGTCTCCAGATTGCAGGAAATTAAGAGTTTAATGCTCAAAATCTTCTAGGGGAGGACCCCAGACCCACCACTAAGATATTTCATTAAGGAATATTTATTCAAATTAAAGCTGCAAGCAGCGTTGGGCGGGCCCTCGCACTTGTAAGCGCGTCCGCGTGTGAGCCGGCCGAGTTGCATATTCTGGAGCTCTGCCGGTGCGGCTGTGAATTTGCTACGCGGTCATGACGCCGCATGAAGGTGTTATATGTCACTTCCTGTGTCCCCTATGTGGAGCTACATAGCACTTGCCGCTATGAATATAAATCGGTATTGACGTGTAGATGTCTGCGGGGTGGGAGAGTTATCAAGCACGTAAAGTTTGTTTCAGATGTGAGCATGTACACTGAACAATAATGTACCCAAACAATAAAATAAATTCCTTTTATATTTCCCTGCCTTGTTGTTTATGTGTACATACAGAGGAAGAATGTGAGAACAGCACACATTTCATCGTTACTGTGTGTTAGAGCATGGAGAACAGTGGATACTTTTAATACAGCCCACACCCCTAATACTGTGTAACTATAACAAGTAGAGAACAGAAGAAAAAGATGTTCTTTCTTTACAACTGTCTGCATAGCTTATTCATATTGTGTAATGAATGAAAATAAATAGGCCTACTAGGCTCCTCTCTACTTTGACTTTTAACATTAGCTTGTTTGATCCACCTTCATACACATGTGACATTACTGTACAACTTGAGAAAGGTGAGTTGTTTTCTGCTCCAGCCTGACTAAAAGAAAAGCGTTTTTGGGATTAAATGGACTTTATTAGCTGCTGCAGTGCAGGATGAACTCAGAACAGACCCATTTCTCACCTTATTATTTTAAATCATGCAACGAAATGCAAAATAAATCCTGGGACAAAATCTGTCCACAAATACTGTACAGCATGTAGCCTGATGAACAAGACTTGTGTTATAGCTGACTTGGGCAGTGAAATGTTTTTTTTAATTCATGTGGTCATAGTTGTCCACAACTGAAATCAGAATATAAGAAGAAATGTTTTATACCACCTCAAGAAGGCTTCCTATCAGAAAGGTAGGAAGGTATTTCAAATGTACAACTGCAGTACTTAAATCTAAGTAAAGTAATTTCCCTGACATTACTGTGTTACTTTACTTTTAATAGACGCATGTAACAGGTTTTATACTTCCTGTGAGTATAATCCAATCAATCTTATTTTCATACTGTATATCCGTTGTGTAATTTGATAAATTGTGTTGTATGTCGTGCTCGCATCTCAGAGAAGACTTAGACTGCAACATGCGTCTTTGTAAAGAGAGAAACGGACAGAAAAAGTCTAACTCTGCCTGTCAGCTCGCTCTGCTCCGTTAAAACTGAATTTACCATACAGAATTGAATACGAGTGCACTCCAGATTTAGCTGCAGCCAGCTGACCGTGTGCTTCTCCCTATACCGCAGTTCTGTGTCCATGCATGCAGCAAACTGAAAGCACTGTCTGTCGGAGCGTCTACATGAAAAGAGAAGGAATACATTGCTGGTAGTGTCTTCAGAGTTGTTAAACACCTGCACTGAAGGAAGGCATCTGACTGTGTGAGGGGCAAGATCGTTGATGTCTGCAGGCAGAGTAGGAGCTCTCCTGTCTGACTGGTCCACCAATAGCAGAGAAGATGACCCCTTGAGTTATCAAGCACGTAAAGTTTGGTTCAGATGTGAGCATGTACACGTAAGTTACAACAACTTCCTGTGTCATGGCGAAGACTTGATCTCTGACGCCACGCCACGGACACACCCATTGACGAAAACTCGCAAATAGCACAACTTTTCATCTTCAATGCCTTTAGAAGGCACAGTAGAAATTTCAGTAGAAGTCGGTCAGACTAAATGCCTAGGAGGAGTTCGTTAAAGTACGAAGTGTGTAAATCACCCAAAATTTGACGTAAAATTCAAAATGGCCGACTTCCTGTTGGGTTTAGGCTATGGCTCCAAGAGACTTTGGAGCCATAGCAAATAGCACAACTTTTCATCTTCAATGCCTTTACAAGGCACAGCAGAAATTTGACGTCGATCCGACTAAATCCCTAGGAGGAGTTCGTTAAAGTACGAAGTGTGTAAATCATCCAAAAATGGCCGTAAAATTCAAAATGGCCGACTTCCTGTTAACTTTAGGCTATGGGTTCTTGAGGCTTTTTTTTGCGTCTTGATATGATACATGTCCCCAGAAAATTTCGTGCATGTAGGTTGAACGTGAACGAGGGGCTAATCTTTTCCAATTTTCTAGGTGGCGCTAGCGAGTCATTTTGCCACGCCCATGTGCGAAACTTGTAAAATACGAAATTTTTCACCGGTTCTGACATGTTTGCAAATTTTGGTGAGTTTTCGAGTATGTCAGTTGAGCCTACTGTGCAGAAAAAAAAAAAAAAAAAAAAATAAAAAATAATTACGAGCAAATTCAATAGGGACCTCGCACGGTCGTGCTCGGACCCTAATAATCTGAGCAAATTCAATAGGGACCTCGCACGGTCATGCTCGGGCCCTAATGACTAATGCTTAATATTGGTGGAGGTTTGTGCTCTCCAAGTGCTTGCCATTAGTTTCTGCAAATTCGTTACACACTCCAGTTCTATTCACCCACACACATCCATTTAACCATGATGGGCAACTAACCACAGATGCAGATATCTGGGATTATACAACTACAGGATGCATTGTGCTGGGTTAATGAGAAGGCAGGTGAAACACGTTGACTCAAGTTTTGTCATTGGCAGTGTCTTCATGGTGGTCACACAGGAGTTCGGGTCAACAAGAAGGAAGCAAATACCTGGAGAAAAATAGATAAAGGTTGCACTGAGAAACACAGAACACTGCTGAAAATAACTGTTCATAAATTTAACAGTGCACCTCCAAAACAATTTGCAGGTAAAATACTGAAGTTTCAAACTAAAATATGACATGTTAAGATCACGTCACTAACTCGGAATTGTGATGGAATTACTGAATAAAGCCTTACCAGCAAAGTTTAAAAGCAGGGATTAAAGCAAGAAAATTTTCTGTGCCTGAAATGTGTTTGGGGGTTACGACAAAGATTTCTAAGTGGGAGAACTTGCAAAATAGCAGGGTGTTCAAATACTTATTTTCCTCACTGTATATATTCAAGCAGCACCTTCTCTCCCTCTTTAGAAGTTAGAATATAGCTGGGTTGTTGAGATTAGCGATTAGAAACAAGAACAAATCTGAAAAAAAACTACTAACGCAGAATTTGTAATTTCCAACTCTGGTATTAGGTGATGAAGAGGGGAATTTTGCATCTTCTGAACTACAACAAACATGAGTGGTGGATGGGTTGACAACTTTCTGTTTAATGGCGTTTTATGACCCATAACTTAAGCATAAACACTCATACAGGGACAAGATATACCACAAGATAAGTCAGCAACATCGACTTTACTGCAGCAACCATCAATGAGATTATAATTCAAATTACTGTCATACAAACCAGTACTCACCTGAAATACTACTGGTGTATTGGCCACTGGTGTTGATAAATCCAGTTAAGTACCAATATTGCTGATTCCACCAGCAGTGGGCTTCCTGTCAGAGGGTTAACAGGCCAAGATGTCAACTTTGCTCTGTTTCGGGTCCTTGCGATGGGGTCTGCGGTAGTACCAAACCCTGTTGGAGTTGTACAGTCCAGCCATGGAGCTTATCCCTGGGGGTAGCAGAGAGACAGCTCATGGACATCTAACTCTGGTCCGACATGGTGGTCATAAAGGGGGTGTGGGGTGTGCCGTGGTGGAGCTGTCATCATGCTCTGCAATGTCTGGCTGGACTCGGGTCAGAGAGAGAGAGAAAATCAGGTTGTGTATGTTTATATGTTCACACACAGCCAAAAATATGGGCACCCCTGCATGTCTGTCACATAATGCACTACTTCTCCCAAAAGTTACCAAATAATACCAAGCAAGTTATTTCTTTTGTTAACATTGTAACACAAGAAAAAAGCAGAGAAAAAAAGTAAATTCTGAGACATTCCACACAGAACTCAGAAAAAGGACTGGTCAAAATGATTGGCACCTTTTAAAAATCTTCAGAAATAATTGTATTTCAAGCATGTGATGCTCCTTTAATTTGTAATTAAAATTTTTATATTTTTGTTTGTTTTATCTCTACCAAATGCAAATTTGTAATACTGAAGAATGGGTTTATTGACTGCTTCCTCAATAAAAAAGTAAACTGCTGATTATGATTACAAACATTTTCAGTACTTGAACATGATGGAATATGGCTTAGTCCCCAACAGTGACCGAAGTGACCAAAATAATTATTTGCCAAAGCACCATATACAGGTGCTGGTCATTTAATTAGAATATCATCAAAAAGTTGATTTTAGTAATTCCATTCAAAAAGTGAAACTTGGATTTTATATTCATTCATTACACACAGACTGATATATTTCAAATATTTATTTAATTGATGATTAAAACTGATAACTAATGAACATCCCATATTCAGTATCTCAGAAAATTAGAATATTACTTAAGACCAATACAAAAAAAGGATTTTTAGAAATGTTGGCCAACTGAAAAGTATGAACATGAAAAGTATGAGCATGTACAGCACTCAATACGTAGTTGGGGTTCCTTTTGCCTGAATTACTGCAGCAATGTGGCGTGGCATGGAGTCCATCAGTCTGTGGCACTGCTCAGGTGTTATGAGGGCCCAGGTTGCTCTGATAGTGGCCTTCAGCTCTTCAGCATTGTTGGGTCTGGCATATCGCATCTTCCTCTTCACAATACCCCATAGATTTTCTATAGGGTTAAGGTCAGGCGAGTTTGCAGGCCAATTAAGAACAGGGATACCATGGTCCTTAAACCAGGTACTGGTAGCTTTGGCACTGTGTGCAGGTGCCAAGTCCTGTTGGAAAATGAAATAAAGGCGGTCAGCAGCAGGAAGCATGAAGTGCTCTAAAACTTCCTGGTAGACAGCTGTGTTATGTCTGTGCGTGGTGGTTCTTGAAGCACTGACTCCAGCTGCAGTCCACTCTTTGTGAATCTCCCCCACATTTTTGAATGGGTTTTGTTTCACAATCCTCTCCAGGGTGCGGTTATCCCTACTGCTTGTACACTTTTTTCTACCACATCTTTTCCTTCCCCTCGCCTCTCTATTAATGTGCTTGGACACAGAGCTCTGTGAACAGCCAGCCTCTTTAGCAATGACCTTTTGTGTCTTGCCCTCCTTGTGCAAGGTGTCAATGGTCGTCTTTTGGACAGCTGTCAAGTCAGCAGTCTTCCACATGATTGTGAAGCCTACAGAACTAGACTGAGAGACCATTTAAAGGCTTTTGCAGGTGTTTTGAGTTAATTAGCTGATTAGAGTGTGGCACCAGGTGTCTTCAATATTGAACCTTTTCACAATATTCTAATTTTCTGAGATACTGATTTTGGGGTTTTCATTAGTTGTCAGTTATAATCATCAAAATTAAAAGGAATGAACACTTGAAATAAATCAGTCTGTGTGGAATGAATGTATACATTACAAGTTTCACTTTTTGAATGGAATTACTGAAATAAATCAACTTTTTGATGATATTCTAATTATATGACCAGCACCTGTATTTATAAATAATATAATTTATTACAGGCTTCAACTCAATCGGTGTCTGGCCATTCTTTAGTGAATCATTGTTTTCAGTCCTCAGCAACATCAGCAGGTCATCTCATCTATGAGAATAAGGACATTTCCATTTAATTATATTATTATAAAATGGTATAAATGTATTATGTATACATGCTTTGTATATACAAGAGATCAAAATATCTTTTGCGAGAGACCCGAGTACAGTAGAAAGAAAGAAAATCAAACATAGCTAGACATGATAAAAGGACATATGGCACCAGAGACAGTAACAAGACATCACTAACTTTATTTTTTTATATTATTTGGTCTTATAGAGGTGGTGAAGAGCATTCTTAAATGTTGGTCCAAAATCTTTTATAGGTGTAAAACTGGGTTGAGATCTAGTGACTTTATATGTGTGTCTGTGGGGGTTGGGGGCATCTATACCATTTTTCCTGTGTCCCAAACAAGCTCGAATGCTTATACTACAAGGCTAACCTAGAACTACTATTATTAATTATTTATTTATTATTATTAAAACAACAACTAATTTAATCGTTGTTAGTGAATCAGCTCAGTGGTGGCCTATCAGGAGACATACACTACTCTCCTAGAAGACAACTTACAAGTGTCATCATCAGATCAGGCTCAAGACTACTGTCAAAAAAAGAAGCTCAAGACCAACTGTTCAACGGCAATTTCACTAACTTGACTTGATCCGTCTCTATGTCTTGTTTATTTATTGATATAGATATTTTTAGATTGTTGATAATTTTGTAAGTAATGTACATAGATAATCATTTCGAACAATCAGTCTGTATATAAGTGTAAGTTAATCAGTTCAGCCTTCTCGACATCAGCATTCACGCCAGGGATGTTGGTTTAGTTGCTAACGTTAGTGTTAGTCAGCAACTTTTTGCTAACGGTTTTCATCTTTAAAAATAAATTTTTGAACAAGTAAGAATTCAACGTACACCCAAGCACCCAAACTAATTAAGTGGTTAATATAATCGCGATACACACATTAATATATTCGCGGTGTAAGTTACAGTCTGTACGAATATATGTCGCAAGGCTAAAACCAAGGTGACGTTAACTTAGTTGCTTACTAGCTAAGCTACCGTTAGCTTGGTTAGCTGGAGCTGTGTAGCTACAGCCGCTAACGGCTGTTACCTTGCTAACGTTACGTAAACAAACGCACACAGCTAACTGTACCTTGGCTACGTATGTGATACATGCTAATGTAGAAAATGGCCCAAAATCTCAGATTCTACATAGCCAAATAATGGTCAAACATGATTTTTACGACATTAACTTTATACATACATACATAAATCCTTATATAACGTTAACGTTAGGCTAGCAGTCAGCCATGACAGAGCTCCCACTCAGCTGTATTACTTATCACTTTCTGGACGGAAAAAGTTGCTTGTCGACTCATTTTGTTATTCTTTTTTTTAGCTCGTCGACTCTTAGTATGCATATAATATTAGTCATATTTAACGTGTGACACCGCAGTCACTTTAGAGAACATCAAATCCAATTTCAATTGACCGTAAATGTCCAGTGTGTAAAGTTAAGGGTGTCCTTGCAGAGGTTGAATATAACGTATAATCACCTAAAAATAAGAATTGTACACCTTTTTTATTACCTTACAAGGCTTTTATATCTGCGACGCATGGGTCCGATCCCCCGCTATGTTTCTACAGTAGGATCAAACCAATACTGTCGATCTGTCGGCTGTTGGTTGTAATCTGCATTTTCACCGCTAGATGCCACTGAATCCTACACACTGCTCCTTAAGTGGCACACCTGTAAAATCTGTTCAATTTGGCATTTAACATTGATTTTTCTTTAAAAAGCATGCACCTTTGAAAATGACAGAGGTGTAATGAGTCTTGACCTTACACAAACGCATGTGTTGTACAACCCAAAAGATTCTAGTGCATTCCAGAAAGGTTCAAATCTGCACAAGCCTTAACTATTAGTAACCCACACAGGTTCCCTCTTCTAAATTTGCCTTCCTCTTCTCATATCAAACAACTACTGCAATTAACATACCCATATGACATTGTATTGGTACTGTAAGTATGCTTGTCAGTTTTCGAATGTACTTATTGTATGGAACCATTCAATTTCTGTTTCTTTGGACAAGGGGACAAGAAAGTCTGAAGAGGAAGGAAAATTTAAATAGGGAACCTGTGTAGGGGTAAAAATATTTATCAAACTACTCAGAATTAGTTATGAGCAAGAGCTCACTTTAGAATGGGGAACACATATTCTTAGTTATAAAGATTTAATTTAGAGTTACACGTGTAGTTGTGTTTTGCTATAAAAGAATAAACTAGGGCTGACCCCAAATAGTCGAAGATTCGATGCTTCGATGGGCTGAGCCTGATTCAACTGTCAATCTCACAGTCGAAGCTTCGCTGCGGCATTTATGCGATACAGGGGTGCTCAACGTTTACATAGATCTAAGTTTTCTCCCAATAAGTTAATATACAGCATATATTACAATACACATTTCAAAGTTTAATGCTGTAAATAAACATGTAAAAAGAAAAAAAAACTTCCAATAAATGTTTTTAAAGTGCGTAAATGAATTCAAAATTGTAACCGTCGTTGTCTGTGCGTATGTGTAGGCATAGTGTGTATGTGTGTAGTGGCAGGAGGAAAACTTGCTGAAGAGACGGAGCCACAGCTTCACCAATGTTGTGCAGAATTGTCCATACCATTGATGAACCACACAAAGAATGTATTGTTTTTAAACAGCCGTTACTTGAAATAGACCCGCCAGGAACTGCGACGTGCGTGCAGTTGTCGGCAGCATGGCAAAAACTCTGCACAAGACCGGTGAATGGCAGGCGAGAGAGAGAGAAAATGGTCAAAAATAAGCCTCAGTTTAGCTTCAGCTCGCAATTGCCGTGCACAAAAACACACATGATTAGACTATAGGCAGGACTTGACGATTCTGATTCGACTATGTAAATCCTTAGTCAGGGACAGCCCTAGAATATACCAAATTTATTAATTGTTATTGAGGGAATTTTTTTGTTCTTGTGGTACTACCACCAAATAGGGCCCAGCCTGAGCAAAGCCTCTTAAGATTGTAATTCATTCAACAACTCCCTTTTACTACTCCAAATAAAAAGTAATTAGGAGGTTATTGATGGAAGTCTTGATCAATGGCATGTAAAATATGGTCATG